TCTTCTTCTTCTTCTTCTTCTTCTTCTTCTTCTTCTTCTTCTTCTTCTTCTTCTTCTTCTTCTTCTTCTTCTTCTCCTTCTCCTTCTCCTTCTTCTCCTCCTCCTCCTCCTCCTTCTTCTTCTCCTCCTCTCCTCCTCCTCCTCCTCCTCCTCTTCCTCCTCCTTCTTCTTCTTCTTTTTAGTCAGTCTCACAGTATATTCTTTTTTCATTTTGTTGGTTAGGGGCTTGAACTCAGGGCCTGGGAGCTGTCCCTGAACTTTTTCTGTTAAAAGCTAGCACTCAACTACGTTGAGCCACAGTGCCACTTCCATTTTTCTGGTGGTTAATTGGAAATAACAATCTTAGACTTTCCTGCCCAGATGGTTATCTTCATATCTCAGCCTCCTAAGTAGCTAGAATTACGGGCAGGAGCCACTGGTGCCCAGATCACTATATTTCAGGCTGGCCTACAGCTTTTTCTTTTTTTTTCTGTCAGTCGTGGGGCTTGAACTCTGGGCCTGGGCGCTGTCCCTCAACTCTTCAGCTCAAGGCTAGTGCTCTACCACTTGAGCCACAGTACCACTTCTGGTTTTCTGGTGGTTTATTGGAGATAAGTCTCATGGACTTTCCTGTTTGGGCTGGCTTTGAACTGTGATCCCCAGATCTCAGCCTCCTGAGTAGCTATGATTATAGGCGTGAGCCACTAGCGCCCGGCCAAACCTATAGCTTTTATTTATTTTTTTGCCAATCATGGTGCCTGAACTCTGGGCCTGGGCGCTGTCCCTCAGCTCTTCAGCTCAAGGCTAGCGCTCTACCACTTGAGCCACAGCACCACTTCCAGCTTTGTTCTTTTTGCTTAAGTGGTGCTGAGGAATCGAACCCAGGGCCTCATGCATGCAAGGCAAGCACTTTACCACTGAGCCACCTTCCCAGCCCCACCTATAGCTTTTTTGTAGTCCAGATTGACTTTGAACTCATGATCCCTCTACCTCAGCCTCTAGAGTGCTGGGATGATAGGTGTGAACCACTATGCTTGGAAACATTCTTCTGTTGGTCTTTTGGTTTTAGTTTTGGTTTGGAGAGGACTCAAGTGATCCTCCTACCTCAGTTGCCTGATCAGCTGGCCCACAGGTGCCAGAAGTAGGCAGGCCAGTAGAAAGGCCAGAAGTACAGGAAACATGGGCCAAAAGAGAAACAGAAGGCTTGGTGAGAAGAGGGAGAGAGAAAAAAACCAACGTTGTTGTTTGTGAATTTCCTTCTTTGCATAAACTGGGAAAACCCCAAAAAACACAAGAGAAGTGGGAAAAACACAGCAGTTTCAGGCTGAGAAAAGTAGAGTCTCAGACACCATGCTGATTCTGTCACCCTAAGAAAACACTGAAGTTGTCTGGATGTTCTGCTCCCCCTGCCTTCAAATCAAGGAGAAAGAGACTGTGGTCATCACATTCCACCTCACTGCCACTGTCCTCCCACAGCCCACGAGGGGCTCCCTCCACTGACAAGTAATGTTTTAACTGGTCCTCACCTTGTCCAGAGCATCTTCTTCATGCCCTATTAGTATTCCAAAAGCAAAGGTCAGGGACTCTTACTCCCTAACTCTGAAGCTTTCAATAACCATCCACTGCCCTCTGGCTCCAGAGCAGCCTCCTATTCTCATATTCAAGAGCCTCCATGAATAGCTTCCACCTGCATTTGTACATTTATCTCCCGGGTTTTGCATTCACTGGTTCTTGCCCACATGGGCCTAGCCCTTCCAAATGTGCCTTTGTTTCTGCATTTCCTCCAGGTGCTCTGAAAGGGACTCCAGCTATCCTGTGTAAAAGCCACCTGCTCACACAAGCTTGGCTTGTTTCTCTAGCAACGTGGAGCCACTTTTTACAAAGGGCCTATAGATTTCCCAGCCTGCTTCCTTCAATTACACATGACTACTGCTAGGAATTGTATCTTTGAAATATTTGTATGTTTGAATTTTTGTATGTTTTGGCATTGTGAGTATGTTGTGTACCATTACAGGGACTTGAACTCAAGGTCTAATTCTCTGGTTTAGCTTTTTGCTCAAGGCTGGTACTCTACCACTTGAAGCATAGACTCCACTCCTGGCTTTTTGCTGGTTAATTGGAGATAAGAAACCATTGGATTTGTCTTCCCAGGCTGCCTTTGAACTGGGATCTTCAGATCTCAGCCTCCTGCATAGTTAGGATTATAGACACAAGCCACCAGTGCCCTGATAGAATTTGTATCTTATTCACCAGTACATGTTCCCTTCCTGTCTGGCCCAGAGCCTGGTTAGTTAGAACTCTGTTGCTATTGGGTTGACTTAGAATGAGTAAGCTGCAGTCTGAAAATATGTACTTGGAATGTTAAAAAAAAAAAAAAGAACGTGAACACAAACGTGAGAGAATTGAGGAAGAAGGAAAAGCTTGTGGAAAGAAAGCCGAGGGAAACTGCTCACTCAGCACAGATATTCATGCTCCTTGGCTTGACTTCCAGATCCCATGTAGGTGGATTCCATTTCAGCCCTGGAAAAGAACAAGTGAGGCTGGAGCTAAAAGTCAGTATGGGGCACAGAAGAGTGCTGGGGGCAACAGCAGTATTGTAAGCATTCCTACCATATTTTTGTGATTTTTTTTGGGGGGTGGGAGAATGTTGAGAAAGACATGTCTTCATGCACTGAGTATCCTCCACCAAATGCAAAATTGATAGTGAACCTCTGGCCTGCCTGGCCAGCATGAGTACCACAAAGGAAGAAAGAAAGTGCTGCACTGAAGAGCTGCCTCCAGGTAGATGCAGTGATACACAACTGTAATGCCAACCTTTGAGAGACTGAGGCAGAACGATTAAACCATACCTGTAATCCTAGCTACCCAGGAGGATGAGATCTGAGGATATCGGTTCAAAGCTAGCCCAGGCAGGAAAGTTATCTCTAATTAACCACCAAAAAGAAAGAAATGGAGCTCAAGTGGTAAAGAGCTAGTTTTGAGCACAAAAAGTTCAGGCTCTGAGTTCAAATCCCATGACTAGTGGCATACACACAAAGTTTAGGGTCAGCCTGAGCTATAGTGAGACCTTATCACAAGGGGGGTAAAAAGCCTAACTCTGCAGGGAGGCCCAGAACCTAGCTCTTGGTGGTGGTGGGACATTCACTTATTTATTCATTTGACAATTTATGTATTCATTTACTCAGCAAATATGATTCAGGAAACAGACCAAGTAGACAAAACACCTGGGCCAGAATTTAAAGTCTAGAAACACACACACACACACACACACACCCTCTTCTGAGAGACAGGTGGAAAGGTTTGGGAGGTGAGTCATTTCTCTAAGGAAGCCATCACCGCCACTAACACAAGACTTCTTGTAGGGTACTGGGAAAGAGCACCCCTTGGACCTTGGGCCATGGAGGCCTTAGCTCAATTCACTTCATTTTAGGACAGTGAAAACCTTAGGTCACCCCTAGGGTCTGTGGCCTGCCCCACTCTTGTTCACGCTGGGGCAGGGTCCACCATAAACACAGAACCAGCTCATCAGGGAGCTACCAGCTAGGAAGAGTCCTCCATGCCTCTGTCCCTTAGTCCCAGCGGTGACTGTGGGAGCCGGGCCAGCTGATGTCATGGCTGTTGAGATGCTCACATGTTGACAGCCACCAGCTTGCTGACTGAGCAACCAGAGTGGGTTGAGAGCTGTGGTTACCAAGAAACCAAAATCTCTCCCCATTTCTTGTATCTCTACATCAACGAGGAGAAGCCTTTCTTGCAAGTTCTGGGCAAATGTAATTTCAGGTAGAGTTAAATGAGGAGCAAATAAACATATTCAGACACCTGCTTCTTCCTCCCCAACCCTTTACCCTCCTCTGACCTAGTACACAAGAGGTGCCGAATAAATGTTTGTTCAATGAATAAACATTGACTCAAATGGAAAAGTAGTGCGAAGAGCACTGTGCTGGGAGTCAGAGACCTGCCTCTCAGCAACTTGGACACCAATCCTTTAGAAAGTTTGGGTCAGCCACCTGACTTTGGGCCAGTTGCTCTTCTCAGTGACATGCCGACTGCTCATCTGGAGGGCCTTGGAGGTTTGCTGTGAAACACACACACACACACACACACACACACACACACGTTGCACTGGAGCATTGAGAAGGAGGACTTAGGTGTATGCATGTTCCGGATCACCTCAGGAAGTAGAAAAAAGACCAGATGCCAGTACTCAAGCCTGTAATCCCAGCTACTCAGAAGGCTGAGACCTGAGGATCTTGTTTCAAAACCAGCTTACACCAGAAAGGCTGTGAGACTCTAATCTCCATTTAACCATTCAAAAGCCAGAAGTAGAGCTATGGCTCAAGTGGTAGAGGGCTAACCTTGAGGGCACCAAAAAAAAAAAAAATGCAAGAAAAAAAACCCCAAAAACCGTGAGAAAGCTTGCAGCTGCTATATGAACTAGGACACAGGTGACAGCGGTCGGAACTGTTAGACTCCACATCCTGCCAGCTGGTAATGGCAGAGGGGCCAGCCACTTGATGATTTTCTTCTCACTTCACTCAGGCAGGGCTGGTGGGAGTCCCTAGTCTTCTCTGTACCCACGTCGATCATCTTCCCAACCTCAGTGATGATTCACTTTGAGCTGGGCATGAGTGGAAGGGGAAGCTCAGCCCCTCTCTCTCTGAGCTGCTGGGGCTCAGTGAGGTCACAGCAGACAAACAAGCACGTGCCAGGCACGAGTGAATCTCTCCCCACCACCCCCAGCAACACCTCAGTCCCCACTTCCCCAGGCTGTGCTGTGTGGGGGAGCCAGGTAAAGGTCTGAGCTTGCAGCTGAATGGGGAGCTGAGACCAGCCACGCAGTTCCTGTCAGTCCTGAAGATGATGTGTCAGAAGCAGCAGAACCTTGCAAAACAACAACTCTGGCACAGCGTCCTGCACCTCCCCTTCCCGCCCCTGCAAGTGGGCAGAGCTCCCACGTGCCTTGTGCGTGTGAGGCTGTTTGAGCTGACAACCGTGTGGCGGGGACAAAGAGGCAAGCTCAGGAGGTAGCCGCAAAGGATAGGAAGGCGGTTTTATATGTGGCAAAATATTTCTCCTACAGGAGTACAGACAAGACGGACAGATGAGGAACAGAACACCAGACAGGGGATAGGTTGGGCAGTGGTATCTTCTAACCAGTAAGTGAACGCTGCACCCCACCCTCAGGTGAGGGTGCGACAACATTGGCACAGGAGGTGGAGAGACAGGTGTGGGGTACCCATCCCTGAGGTGGGCAGCCGGGCAGGGCCCAGTCCTTGTTGGCACAATCGGCTCTCTCTGGCCCAGCTAGGATGCTGAGGGAGGGGCAGGACTGCTGGGCTAGAAGGATGATGAGGCGGAGGGCACTCTAGGGGAGGGGGCTACCAAGGCCTCTCCTGGGAGAAGTGGACACTAGTAAAGAACAGGATCACAAGAGGCAAGTACAGAAAGCAGCAGCAGCCAAGTCCCCCGAGGGAGACCCAGGCAGGTCCCCAGGTGACCCCTGGGGTGGTGGTCACCTCTTGGGTACCAACCCACCAGGCCTCTCCCCTGAGGCCTCAGGGTGAATGACGGTGAAGGAGCAGGGTTTTTGTTTTTGTTTTTGTTTTTTTTTTTGGTTTAGAATGAAGCGGACCAGACTGTTCAGTCTCCACACCCAAGTGGCACGGAGATGTGCGGGGGGCTCAGATGCAGAGTGGGCCCCCCCTCTTCTAATGGCAGCAGGCAGGAGAGTTTGTAGGCAAAGCTCATTCCTGGGTAGGCAAGGGCTGAAACATGGAGGTGGGGTGGGTAGCAGCATCTCAAGTTGCCCAGTCCTCCAAGTTCTCTGCCATGGGCTTTGCCACAGTCACAGAGGGCAGAGGGCACACCTCTGATGTCTGAGTTCCCACCCAGACCCCTCCCCAAGACAACACTCCCTATGGGTGTCCAAGTTGTAGCTTTCACCTACCAGAGAATACTGCCAGAAAGCTGGGGCATGGTGATGGACCTTGGATCTGGGGTGTGGGGAAAGAGAGCCCCCATGGGGGAAGATTCTGTGGCTTCCCTCTCCAGCCAAACCACCCAACCCTTCACTAATACCCCAAGTTGGGAAAAGAAGGGGCCCCTCCTCATTTAGGACCTTCATTTAAAAGGCCCAAGTAGAAAGATTTAAGGAAGTGCACCTTTTCTCTTGGGAGGGGGAGAGGAGAGGCCCCCTAAGATGGGGGAAATGGGCCAGTTCAGGAAGATGGGGATCCAACAACCATCAACCACAAACAAGTAGGGAAAAACCTACTGTTGGGGCTTAAAGGCCTCCCAGGAGCTGGAATGATAACCATCAAAGAAACCCCAAACACTGAGCAAAGGCATCTGAAAGGAGGGAGACAGCGCCTCCTGGAGGCAAGACACAGCTCAGGCGGTGAGCCCCTCTTCTGGATCCCCTCCCCGGGCTCCGAGTCCTTCTCCCACTAAGCAGCCTCCGCCTCAACGGATGTAGACACCTTGCCCCCAGCCCTCCAGCTCATTCTTGTTACGCCCCAACACCGGACCCCCACCCTCTGCACAGTAGCGAGCCTTATTCCGGGCCCGGTTCCGGTTGTCGGTCTGCTCTTCCTCATAGTCTTCCTCATCCTCCCAGGAGCCCTGCCGAGCTGGTGGAGTGCCGCCCCCGGCAGGGTCTCCAGGCCCCGGCCCCTCTGAGGGGTCGGTCTCCATGTCCACACATGAGTCTCCCGGCTCGGTGTAGGCAGAGTTTCGGCTGCCGGGGGTGTCAGCATCAAACGTGTCTTGGCGGGACAATGCCCGCAGGGTGCCAGCCCGGCCTGGTGGATGGCTGCTGGGGTAAAGGCCCGGGGGCTGGCCCAGCTCTCCCGGGTACTTGTGCACGCTGGCGTGCTCCCCGGTGGCCCGTTCCAGTGGCTGGTCCCCGGAAGCAAGGTAGGGTCCCTGGTTAGCAGACAGACGGCACACACCATGCAGATCAGGCAGGCAGGGGTGAGAAAAACACAACAAAGCAAGGCAGGTTAGTGACAGCACCATAATACCCAGCCTGGCTGAAGGAGAAGGGCACTGGATCTAGGGAAGGGGAACCTGGTACCTGGGCAAATGGCTCTAGAACCCAGCCAGAGGACAAGGCTGTGCACATTTGCACCACTGTTAGGGCTGGGGCACCAACTTCGTGGTAAGTCAGGACTCACGATTTCTCACAGAAACCATGGTAAGGAAGCCCCTGAACAATTAGTCACCACTTCCTCAATGCATATCATTAATGGCTTGAGGTTAATCATCATGAACAGTTCATTAGTACTGCTGCCACTCACTAGTGGTTGATTAGGTTAGTCAATCCTTCCACTTTTCCAAATACATTAAGAGATTTCAACTCAAACTCCACTGACCCTTGCTTCTTCAGCCCACACCAGACTTCAATCACAGGCTTCTAGAACCCCACGCATCTCCTCCCTGGATGAGTCTCCAGGGCTGACTGCATCTCCCCCCCCCCGCCCCAACAAGGATGCAAAGCTAGAAAAAGCTGATGGGTCACCTTCCTCAACTGGAGACCCCCCCTCCCATGGTGGCTCAATGCTGTCATCACCAAATGCCCCCTGAAGTTGAGTTGCTGGCCATGGACAGTAGAGATTGTCAGGTAGGTTGCAAAGAGGATCAAGTTCTACACACACCCTGCCACCTTAAACTGTGTGACCCTAAGCAAATGTTTCTGCTGTGTGACCCAGTTTTCTGGAGCTCTGGGAAGAGGTAGGGAGTGCTTCTGGGGTCTCAGTGGAGAAAGAGCACAGAAGTGCTTCTTGGGGGCCTGGTAAACAAGTGGGCTCTGTTGCTGAAAACAGGCTTGGAAAACAGCAGCCTGGAAGGTTTCATGGAGTTGGGCTGGCTCTACCCCCAGAACCATATACTTAATGGTATGATCTCAGATGATGGGTTGTGGCTTCCACAGGAGGAGGGTGAGGCCCAGTAGATACCTAAGGAGGGCCTTTCCTAGCACAGCACTAACTCATAGAAGATGTTCATTCTGGGCCCTTCCTGAGGGACCAGGAAGTTAATGCTCGCTCTGACATAGCAGCAGCTTCTCTGGAGCTAATAGTTCCTGCTCTGTGGTTCTAAAAGGGGTGTGGAGGAACTGGAGATGTGGCTCAAATGGTAGAGTGTCAGCCATAAGTAGAAAACAAAAACAAACACAAGTGCAAGGCCCTGAGTTAAAATGGGTGTGGAGTCCAGTGAGTGAATCTTTCTCCTATTTTTCTCATTAGTCTCTGGCCTTTTTAAGGGTCCAATCAGGTCTCATGTCCAACGGGTAAAACCAGGACCAGGGAGGCAGCACCAGCCAGCCCCAGCCCCACCAAAAACCACAGACACCAGAAATGTGCCACTCAACCACGTTTTTTACAAAATAAAACTCTTCCCTTCCTTCCCAGTGTTCCCTGCACTCCACTCCTGGAGTGCAGGCGAGAGGGGGACCTGCTACATGGCTTGCTCTTGCTGCTGGGCCACCGCGCTGCCGCCTCTCTGAGAGGCTTCCAGCCCGCCCCAGAAGCTGAGGTTTCTCCTGAGCGAGGTGAGCACCTGTACCTGGAGGTTGGAGACCGGGGCAGGGCTGGCAGCCAGGGCTGCTGTAGCCATGGTGCGGTTCAGCAGTGGATTGGGTGGCGTGCTGCTGGGTGGGTGTGTGGCCTTCCAGTAGGCTTCCAAGTATTCGGCCAGGTGCTCACAGGCATCCTCCAATTGGTTCTCGTCCAGGATGATGTCAAACATTTCCTGCGGAGGTGGGGTTAGGGGCAGGGCTGGGATGAGCGGGGGCGTGTCCAAGGGTTGAGGGTGTGGCCTGGGTGCAGTGGGTGGAGCCAAGGGGGTTGAAGGACAAAGTTAAAAAGAAGCCTCGTGGGGGTGGCCTGGCCGGTGTCTGGTGGCTCACTCCTAGCTACTCAGGAGGCTGAGATCTCAGAATCATGGTTCAAAGCCAGCCAGGGCAGGAGTCTGTGAGACTCCTAGCTACTCAGGAGTCTGAGAATCATGGTTCAAAGCCAGCTGGGGCAGGAAAGTCCATGAGACTCTTATCTCCAATAAATTACCACAAAAGCCAGAAGTGGAGCTGTGGCTCAAGTGGTGGAGCACTATGCAAAAACAGCTCAGGATCTGCACCCAGGTCCTGAGTTCAAGCCCCAGGACCAGGGGGAAAAAAAAAGCCTAGGGATATGGAGAATGGGAAAGAGGACTTGGCAGACCTGCCAGAAGTCTGCTAGCGCAACTCAGCCCAACTACCTCCTTCTGGAAATAAGATAGCCATGACTAGGAGAGAGGGGGTTTCAATCCCTGCTTGGGTCTACCCTTTGTCTTTCCCAAGATCGGTCTGTACCCACAGATCTTGGCCCAGGTGTTTCTGGTCACTTTGTCTTCAGTGCAGACCAGAGGAAACCAAATACCCTTCTCCCCTTCTCCCCCAGTTCTGGGCACTCACGGGGGGACACTGTGCCAGCTTCTCTGAGGCTGCTATTTGAACATTGAGGTGTTTGGACTGAGATTTCCCTCGAGATTTGATGAGCCTCTGAAGTACCTGGTTTGGGGAAAGGAGAGTTAGAGGGACCCAGGCAATGTACCAAGGTCAGATTCTGCCTGGAGTCAGAATGGAGAGCCAGCGTTAGGACTATGGAATGTTCCATGACTCTCAGCCCTGGGCACCTCTGCAAAAATGACCTCACCGGGCCTGTGTCCACCCCACATGCATTCAGGCTGTCTATGTGAAGGACAGTAATTCTCCCCCATGCCCAACCTTGTCTATGGGCTTCATCCTCCAGCTTTACTTCCTCTAACCCGTGTTAACAGTCATTGTGCTTTTTATTGAGATCGTGTCTTGCTAAGTTCACCCAGGCTGCCAGGCCAGAAAAGGTGATCTTTCTGTTTCAGTCTGATGAGTCGTTGGGACCACTAGAGGTAGAGAGGCATGCCACCTTAACCAACTGTGTGTTTTCTGTACTCTCAATTCAGTCCTGACAATAATCCCATTAGTTATTATTATTAATAATTATAATTAAAATAAATATAGTTTTAAATAAATTAAAGTTAAATTTAATTATAATCAATAATGATTATAATAAAATGCAACATTTAAAAGTAATCATAAGGAAACATAAAACTGAGGGACAGTTTGCAAAATTAACAGGGCTATACTAAGATGCCAGTGTCGTGAAAGACTAAAGAATTGTTCCACATTAAAGAAAACTGGGCTGGGCACTGGTGGCTCATGCCTTTAGTCCTAGTTACTCAGGAGGCTGAGTAGCCAGCCAAGGTAGTAATGTCCACAAGACTCTTCATCTCCAATTAACCACCAAAAAGCCAAAAGTACAGCTGATCAAGTGGTAGAACACCATCCTTGAGCAAAAAAGCTAAGCAATAGTGTAAATCTCTGGTTGAAGCCCAAGTACACACACACACACACACACACACAGAAAAGAAAAAAAAAAAAACTTGAAGCCTGGAGCTGGTCACTCACGCCTGTAATCCTAGCTACTCAGGAGACTGAGATCTGAGGATCACAGTTCAAAGCCAGCCCAGGCAGGAAAGTCTGTGCACTTTTTTTTTTTTTTTTTGGTGGGGCCTGAACTCTAGGCCTAGGAACTGTCACTGAGCTCTTCAGCTCAAGGTGAGTGCTCTACCATTTGAGCCACAGCGCCACTTCTGGCTTTTTCTGCTTATGTGGTGCTGAAGAATTGAACCCAGGGCCTCTTACATGCAAGGCAAGCACTCTACCACTGAACCACCTTCCCAGCCCCAGTCCATGAACTCTTATTTCCAATTAACCACCAGAAAACCAGAAGTGGCTCTGTGGCTCAAGTGGTAGAGTACTCGCCTTGAGCTGAAGAGCTCAGGGACAGTGCCCAGGCCGAGTTCAAGCCCCATAACCATGACCACCACCACCACCAACAACAACAACAACAAAACAGAACTTGGGATAGCATTTGTCCAGCAAGTATGAAACCTTGGATTCAATTCCCAGTACCACACACACACACACACACACACACACAGTACCTTTGTGGGTACCAGGCATCTTGCATGATCAGTCTTTTTACTTAGTCTTCATTGGAGAATGTCTTTTTCTTTTTTTTTTTTGTCGGTCATGGGCCCTGAACTCTGGGCCTGGGCGCTGTCCCTCAGCTCTTCAGCTCAAGGCAAGTGCTCTACCACTTGAGCCACAGCACCACTTCTGGCTTTTTCTACTTATGTGGTGCTAAGGAATACAACCCAGGGCCTCATGCATGTGAGGCAAGCGCTCTACCACTGAGCCACCTTCCCAGCCCAAGAATGCCTTTGTGACAGATGACAAAACCAGGGCACTGAGACGTTAGGTAACTTGCCAAAAGGACACAGTGCTGTTAAGTCTAGCTCAAGAGTACCCACCATAACCTCTGTGGGCATCTGTTACTTTCTAGGTCACAAAATGTTTTTGCATCATTACCTCATTTGATCCTTTCAGCTCCCACACTCCCAAGTACTTATATTCCATCGTCACTTTTATCTCATTGGAAACTTAAAACTAGTTCCCAAGATGTTAATGTAGAACAACAACAGTTAGTAGCACTTCCAGCCATCATGAGTCAGTCTACTGGGATCTTTATCTCTATCGCCTCCAATCTCTGAGAAATAACAGAGGCTGAGGATGTAGCTTGATGGTAGGGTGTATGGTTGGCATGCTTGAGGCTTTGAGTTCCATCCTCAGCAGCAAAAATATAATCACACCAGAGAAGGAATGCCATTTTGTAAGTGAATTATTTGAGGCTTAAGGACTAAGTAATTCCCCCCAAATCCCAAGCTTAATAAAAACAACTAACACCAATAAATAAATTTGAAAATCAACCAAAGCAAAGATTTCAACCCCACACTGCCTTCTAACTCCAAAACCTAACAAGAGTAGGGGTGTGAATCTGATCTAACCACATTATTTGCTAGCAGAGTGCTGGTGCCTCGTGCCTGTAACCCTAGCTGCTCAGGAAGCTGAGATTTGAGGATTGAAGGTTGAAGCCAGAACTGGCAGACAAATCTGAGACACTCTTATCTCTAAATAACCAGCAAAAGGCCCAAAATGGAGGTGTTGCTAAGGTGGTAGAGCACCAACCTTGAGTGAAACAGCCAAGCAAGAGTGCAAGGGCAGGCTAGGAATGTGGCCTAGTGGTAAAGTGCTTGCCTAGCATGCATGAAGCCCTGGGTTCCATTCCTCAGTACCACATACACAGAAAAAGTCAGAAGTGGCACTGTGGCTCAAGTGGTAGAGTGCTAGCCTTGAGCAAAAGAAGCTCAGAGATAGTCCCTGGTGTTGAGTTCAAGCCTCAGGACTGGCAAAAAAAAAAAAAAAAGCAAGGGCCTAAGTCCAAGCCCTAGAGCCCTAGTAGACACACACACTCACATCACACATACGCGCGCACACACACACACACACACATTATATGCAGGTATGACATATTATAATGAGACCCCTTATATAAATAATATACACCAATAAAAAAATAAAGCAAAAAACCCCACAAAACCTTAAGACTGGGATTTAGCTAAATAGTAGAGTGCTTTACCTAGCATGCACAAGGCCAGTTGCTCCCCAACAACAGAAAAAAAAACTGACTTCAAAACCTTTACCCTTCACCCTACACTCCACATTCCTCAAGTCTTCACTAACAATTAGAAAGAAAGTTTAAGGCCGGGCGCTGGTGGCTCACGCCTGTAATCCTAGCTACTCAGGAGGCTGAGATCTGAGGATCATGGTTCAAAGCCAGCCCGGGCAGGAGAGACCGTGAGACTCCTATCTCCAATAAACCACCAGAAAACCAGAAGTGGCGCTGTAGCTCAAGTGGTAGAGCGCTCGCCTTGAGCTGAAGAGCTGAGGGACAGCGCCCAGGCCCAGAGTTCAAGCCCCACAACCAACAAAAAAAAAAAAGAAAGTTTAAGGAGCTGCAACATGACAAGTAAATCAGCTTTCCTATCAATACCCTCTCTATTCAAGTCCAAATGAGGACAGCACAATTTTTTAAAAAAAGGCTGACATCAGAGCCAGGAAAGACTTCTCCCTGCCAAGTAGCTGAGTGACATTGGGACAAAAGCATAATTATTTCAGTGATTTAGTCTAAGGATGGAGTCAACCGGAGTAGAAACGGGATTGGATGCATGTCCCTAATAATCATGTCAGTAATAGCTAGTGCATGATGAGGTATGTGGTCCCAGGCCCTGTGCTGATTGCTGTGTATTCACATTAGACTGCCTCTTTCCCATGTCCACAGGATGGGGTTTTACTGAGAGGGAAACTATTCAGTCATCCCGTTAGGAAACAAGTGAACCCAGGCAGGCCAACGACAGAGCCCTCTTTGTGAACCATGCCATTCCACAGGGGTCATGCCCCTGCACCTACCTTGGGAGAGGTAATTTTGATGTAAACAATGATGGGGGCCAGCGAGGTCTTGGAGAGCTGGGCCGGGTGGTTGATGGTGTCAGCATCCAGGGCGACCAACTGAAGGGTTCGAGCCAGCTCAAAGATCCGCTCAATCTCACTCTGTACCTCAGCTGGGGGCATGAAGTCATGGGGAGGGAGATGTAAGGTAGTGCCAGGAGGTAGCCAGAAAAGAGAAGTTTCTAGAGACTTCCCACATCCCATCCAGTGGTCCAGAAGAGGCAGCAGGGAGTAGAGGAGGTGAATAGCTTACCCAGGCTGGAACGGGTATTGGATCGCTCAATGATGATATGCTTGCTGGGGTTGTTGAGAACTGAACGCTTGGCCAGGGAAATGTCAGCTGTCACTCGTGTGATGGAGATCCTGGGTGATGAGGCACAGGAGGGAATGGGGGGAGTCAGGATGGGCTAGAATGCACGGCCCAGGCCCCAGCCTTCAGGCCTGCCTCTTGTCCCTCAATCCAAGGCTTGTCCTTCCAGAGAGCCTGCTCATCTGTAGGTGGGGCTGGGAAGTCAGCTCCCAGGGTCTTACCTGCCATCAAACCGATGTTTCAAGAAGTCAAATAAAGCTTTCTGCATCATGTCTGTAACCTGCCGTTGAGAGTTTGGAGGGGGAGAAGTCAGGAATTGAAAAACCACGCTGGGGGTTGGCCTGATGGGCATTTGGACCCTCACATTCCACCTTCTTTAAAAAGTGCTGAGATGAAGGGGCCTGCTGCCGCGTGTCGGGGTGGGGGTGGGGTCCTTCTGGGGCTGGGACTCCAGCGTAGTGTGATTTCAAAGGTCCTTCTAGGTATCTCTGGAGGGCTCTTTAGGGGCATCCTTGCAGGACTGAGGCCCTCTAAGGGTGTCTCCTGTAGGTTAGGCCCTTCTAGGGATTTTCTCTGGATTTCTGTGGCCCTTGGGGGAGAATACCCTGGGGAACTAGACCCCTCTTGTGGATTTCTCTGGGTCTGGGGATCTTTCTGTGGATTTTTTCTGAAGGTCTTGGTCCCTCTGGGCCCACTCCCCTCTAAGACTCCTACCTCATAGCCCTTGAGCGACGGTCCCACCAGGATGATGGGCCTCATGGAAGGCACCACGTCATACGGGGGCACATGCTCTGTCTGGGGTGGGGGGAAGCAGGGAAGGGAAACCCCAGAGTGGAGATGGCATTGCACCCTCTCCCTCAGTCTCCAATTCCCCCATGCAGCCTTTCCTCCCCCTGCTCCCAGAGCCCAGATGTGGGGATCAAGGAGGGGTTGGGAAGGGATGGCCAGGGAGGACCAGGAAGGGTAGGGAAGAGAGGGGAGATATGGGAGTGGGTGTTAGAAGGTTTCCCAGATCATCCCAGGGGTGGAGAGGGGTACACAGAAAGCTGTGATACTCACCGACTTCTGCTTCTGTTTGGCTGGGTCCAGAGATTGCCAGGAGAGGGGAGGGGAGGAGGAGAAAGGGGAGGGCACCCAGGCAGGGGCAAAGGGCAAGGGAGGAGCCAGGACCAGAGAAGGAGGGAGAGCGGGCAGACGAGGAGAGATAACAGGGCATGCGTGTTAGTGACAGACAGAGCCAGAAAGGGAACGGGACCCCATGCCAAGGGCAAGGGAGAAGTGGCCCTGGCCCAGGGCAGGAGGCATTATCAGTCCACTGGACCTGGGCATCGTTGGACAAGCCCTACCCTTCTTCCACCTCTTGGGAAAGAGCTGCAAATATGATAACCCCTAATTTGGAGCCCACCTCCTATCAGCCCATAAATTTTAAGGGGTCCCTTGTCTGTCTTTCTCTGCAGCCAAGAGACCCCCCCCATGTGCCTACCCATAGAGTTCGAAAAGGACAAAGAAGAAATGCCATCCCGCTCCCCACTTCACAAGCCAGAGTGGGGTACACACTGGACTATTCCACTGCATTGATAGTGACCAAAGATCATGTCTTATTACCACCATCCCTGCTTCCACAGGGCAAGCAGAATTCCAAGGGCAAGAGCCACCCCTTCCTGGTGAATGGCCAAGTTGGGGTTGTATGTGGAGAGGGATGTTCCCCCCCCCCCAGCCCTCCTCCAGCTTAGCGAGAAGCCCTGAGGCCCACAGCATAAACCCGATTGCATCTGACCACTCCAGCCCCCTCTCCCTGCCAAGAGCTGGGCCTTCACCACCCACCTTGCAGGAACCCAGTCACAATTACCTTCTTAAAGAAGGGGATGCGCTTGCCATGAGGAGGTGGGGTGGTGACACTGCTAACGCTAGTCTTGGCAGAGCCGCTCTGCTCCCCAAACTCTGCCTCCTCATCCTCTAATTCTAAGGGGTCTAGTTCAAAGGCTAAGTTAGTCATTTCATTACCTGGACCACAGGTGAGATGGAAGGAGAGGGAGGTGAGGAAGAGAGGAGTGAGATGAGCATGGAGACACAGAACAGAACACAGGGATGGGATGGGGGAAAAAAGAAAGAAGAAGAGGTAAATGGAACAGGGCTGGGAGAAATGAATGGGGGGGGGGGTTGAGGGGCAGGGAGGGGCAGGCAGAGAGATGGAGCTACCAAAGAAGAGGGGGAGGAGAAACACGAGGTGTAGCTTGTTGGGGTACCCTATGCCTCATGGAGGGGTACTCATTGCGCGAGGGGGGACTCCCTTGCTATAGGGAGGAGGGGGTCAGGCAGTGGGGTGATCACCCCACCCAGGAACACCTCCCCACCCCTTAGTTTGGCAGAAAAACTCTTACCACTGGCAGGGGGTGTTGGGCGGCGGGTGCCAGTCACCACGTCTCCCAGACTGGAAGTGGAGTTGTCACCTGATTTGCTGTGTGGGCAGGGAGGCAAATGGATTTGGTGAGCCATGGGGTGGGCGTGCAGGCGGGGAACCCAGGCCTGTTATATGCTATGCCCTCAGAGGTCCTCCAGCATCCCCACAAGCAGCTCAGTGGGGCCAGCCCTGAGGCCTAGTCCTGGCTGGTAGCCTCTCCCAGGGTGGTAGAGCTCCCCCTCCCCCCCAAGCCAGACACCTGGAGCTGAGGCGGTTCTGGCGCATCGTCTGTTCCTGTAGCAGGCGCAGGCTGTCCAGTTTGACGGGGCTGGGGATGAAGCCGACCTCACAGCCCTCCTTCACCAGTCGCCCAATCCACCAGTCATTATTGTATTTCTGCAAACAACAGCAGGTGGGGTGGAAGAGACCAAGAGGTCTTGCACTGGAGGTGCAAGCCACAGTCACCCTTCCAGGGGAATCACTGGATTGCTCACCCTGCACACAACGCCATCTCTACCCCATCTCCAGCCTGCAAGGATAGTGCCCACCCCCCTCCACAGTTCTCAAGACAATACCAGAACTATCATCCCCTCTGGCCATGGTGCCCTTCCCTTAGAGAGAAGAAGAGAGTCTTTCATGCCTCTGGGACCCAAGCTGCTGGAGCAAATGCAGACACTTATACACTCCAAGCTCATCACCACTCCAGCCACAGGCCACATGACAAAGTGACCTAGACATTACCACCCATTAAACAATGAGAAATTAGAGGCTCAGAGAGGTAGAAAGATTTGTCTAAGATGCCATAGCAGCTTGGCTCAGGAGACATTTTCCCCCCACAATAGCTTGGGCTGCCTCTCCCTTGGCACCCACTCCCATCCTCCTTCCAGGTGCCAGGCACCCAGCCCACCTCCTTGATGTGCAGGAAGTCCTTAGGCTCAAAGGTAATGGCCACTCCTTGTACAGGCACCTCATCTCCTGGAGATGGATTGTAGCCAACGTTAGTCCGCACAGCAAAAGCCACTGGCTTAGTCTAGGAGGTACACAAAAGGGGGGAAGGTTGACACCAAAAGCTAAAGCCTAACAACAATAATAATGGAGATGGTGCTTATCCAGATGTTTACTTTGTAAATAATTAAAATGTACACTAAAGCCAGGTGCTGGTGGCTCACACCTGTAAGATAAGATCTGAGGATTGCAGTTCAAAGGCAACCTGGGCAGGAAAGTCTGAGAGACTCTTTTTTTTTTTTTTTTTTTTTGGGTCCAGTCGTGGGGCCTGAACTCTGGGCCTGGGCGCTGTCCCTCAGCTCTTCAGCTCAAGGCTAGTGCTCTAGCTTTTTTCTTTTTGCTTATGTGGTTGGTGCTGAGGAATTGAACCCAGGGCCTCAGGCATGCAAGGCAAGCGCTCTACCACTGAGCCACCTTCCCAGCCCCTGAGAGACTCTTATCTCCAGTTAACAACCAGAAAAATGGGAGTGGCTGTGTGGCTCAAAGTGGTATAATGCTAGCCTTAAGTAAGAAGAGCTCAGGGACAATCCCCAGGCCCTGAATTCAAGCCCCATGACCAACAAAACAATAATAAACAGAAAGAACATTAAATGGTTTGTGTGGTTTCCTATATGTATGTTAAATTTTCAATGAAAATGAAAGGTGGAGCCGGGCGCTGGTGGCTCACGCCTGTAATCCTAGCTACTCAGGAGGCTGAGATCTGAGGATCGCGGTTCAAAGCCAGCCCGGGCAGGAAAGACCGTGAGACTCCTATCTCCAATAAACCACCAGAAAACCGGAAGTGGCGCTGTAGCTCAAGTGGTAGAGCGCTTGCCTTGAGCTGAAGAGCTGAAGGACAGTGCCCAGGCTCAGAGTTCAAGCCCCACGACCGACAAAAAAAAAAAAGAAAGAAAGAAAATTAAAGGTGGTATATACCTGTAATTCCAGTTACTCTAGAGTCAAAGATAAGAGGATCTCAATTCAAAGCCAGCCTGAGCAAGAAGTTAAGAACTTATCTCAGAAATGAACTAAATCTGAGGATGTGGCTCAAGTAATACAACACCTGAGTTCAATCCCCAAAACTGCCTAAAAAGTAAAAAGAAAGCAATTTAAAAAAGGAAATTAGGGCTGGGAATGTGGCTTAGTAGGAGAGTGCTTACCTAGAATGCATGAAGCCCTGAGTTCGGTTCCTCAGTACCACATAAACAGAAAAAGCCAGAAGTGGGGCTATGGCTCAAGTGGTAGAATGCTAGTCTTGAGCAAAAGAAGCTCAGGGACAGTGTCCAGGACCTGAGTTCAAGCCCCAGGACTATTTTTAAAAAAGGGGAGAGGGGCTGAGAAGATGGCTCAGTGATAGAGCGCTTGCCTTGCATGCATGAGGCCCTGGGTTCGATTCCTCAACACCACATAAGCAGAAAAAGCCGGAAGTGGGGCTGAGGCTCAAGGGGTAGAGCGCTTTCCTTGAGCTAAAGAGCTGAAGGGCAGTGCCCAGGCTCAGAGTTCAAGCCCCATGACCAACCTTCCCCTCCCCCCAAAAAAAGGAAAATGGGGGCTGGTGGTTCACGTCTGTAGTCCTAGCTACTGAGGAGGTTGAGATCTGAGATAGATATTCAAGGCCAGTCCAGGCAGAAAAGTCTATGAGACTTTTTATTTCCAATTAACCACCAAAAGCAGGAAAGTGGAGCTCTGAATCCAGTAGTAGAGCACCCGTCTGAATCCAGTAGTAGAGCACCCAGTCCTGAGTTCTAGCCACTATACTGGTACCAAAAAAATAAAAAGGAGCTAGTACCAGAGGCTAAGCCTGTAATCTTAGTTACTCAAGAAGCTGAAATCTGAGGATCATGGTTCAAAGCCAGCCTGGGCAGAAAAGTCCATGAGACTCTTAAAACCAGAAGTGTTGCTATGGCTCAAGGTGGTAGAGCAGACCTGGGAAGGTGGCTCAGTGGTAGAGTGCTTGCCTTGCATGCATGAGGTCCTGGATTTGATTCCTCAGCACCACATAAGCAGAAAAAGCCGGAAGTGGCTCTGTGACTCATGTGGTAGAGCGCTAGCCTTGAGCTGAGGGACAGTGCCCAAGCCCAGAGTTCATGCCCACAACGAAAAAAAAAAAAAAAAAAAAAGGAAGGGGCTGAGAAGTTGGCTCAGTGGTAGAGCGCTTGCCTTGCAAGCCTGAGGCCCTGGGTTCGATTCCTCAGCACCTTATAAGCAAAAAGAAAATAAGCAAGAAGTGGCGCTGTGGCTCAAGTGGTAGAGTGCTAGCCTTGAGCTGAAGAGCTGAGGGACAGCACCCAGGCCCAGAGTTCAGGCCCCACAACCGGACCCAAAAAAAAAAAAAAGTGGTATGTCACTAGCCTTGAACAAAAAAAGCTCTGAGTTCTGGGACAGTGCCCAGGCCTTGAGTTCAAGTCCCAAGACCAACAATAAATAGATAAATAGGAATGCAGGTCTCCCAGGGTGGTGGGAAATATGAAGACTGCAAGTATTGGAGGAAAGTGGGAGGAGCCTAGAATGAGAACAGGAGGAATGATGATAACACTGCCAGCAATGACTGCTCATCATACTAGGAACTGTCACAGGCTTCATGTGTAGTGTCTCATTGATTCCTACAAAAATCCTATGCTGTTGCTTAATTTTATCTTCATTGCATTTGTTTATTTATTTTGGGGTTTTAGCAAGTACTTGTTTTAATATAACTGGATAAAGTTAAAAAAAAGAGAGAGAGAAAGAGGGAGAAACTTTTCCTGGCTTCCTATTTATATGAGTAGCACATCCCTAGAAAAAGAATCTCATGATTTTCCCTCCTGTGTGTTCCTATCTTGCTTCTTCATGGTTCGTGATGCCAGTTGAGGTAGTCAGTACAGTGAAATCAAACTGAGGGATAGAAGCAGAGTGTTCTGCCATTTTCTTCCCTTTTTTGCTTTCATTTTTTTTTTCATTTGAGTCAGGGTTTTGATATGTTGTCCAGGCTGGCCATCAACTTCTTGGGCTCAAATGATCCTTCTGTCTCTAATTTTCAAATAGGTTGGGACACTACTACTAAGTAGCTGTCATTTATTTAGATATTTGAACTGCTAATGGTTCCACATGTTTAACTCTCTGTAGAGTCCAAAACTACTACTTGCACCGCAAAGATTTCAAATTCATCTAAGTAATCATGCTTCATCACCATTGTCTGTTAGAAAACAATGATTTCAGAGCATATCCTATTAAAAACCTGGCATTTATCCAAATATGGTAGTAAATACCTGTAATCTCAGCTACTCATGAGGCAGAGACAGAAGTACCAGTAGTTTGAGGCCAACCTTTGCAATATGGCAAGACCTGGTCTCAAAATAAAAATTTAAAAATAGCCTAACATAGTGGTACATACCTATAATACCAACTCTTGGAGGTAGAGGTAAAAGATATTGTAAATTCTAGATCAGCCTGGGTTATATAGTATAATAAAAACAAAATTGCCAGGAGTATAGCTCAGTCATAGAATACTTGCCTAGAAAGTACTAGTTTGTTGGATGCTGGTGGCTCGCATCTGTAATCCTAGCTACTGAGGAGGCTGAGATCTGAGGATCTAGGTTGCCAGCCTGGGCAGGAAAGTCCATGAGACTCTTATCTCCAATTAAGCACCAGAAAAATGGAGTAGCTCTGTGGCTCAAAGTGGTAGTGAGCTAGCCTGGAGCAAAAAAGCTCAGGGAAAGTGCCCAAGCGCTGAGTTCAAGCCCCACAACTAACAAAAAACAACAACAAAAGATAGAAAATGGGACTGAGAAGGTGGCTCAGTGGTAGAGTGCTTGCCTTGCATGCATGAGGCCCTGGGTTCGATTCCTCAGCACCACATAAGCAGAAAAAAAAAAGCTGGAAGTGGCGCTATGGCTCAAGTGGTAGAGTGCTAGCCTTGAGCTGAAGAGCTGAGGGACAGCACCCAGGTCCAGAGTTCAGGCCCAAGACCGGACTCCCCCCCCCAAAAAAAAAAGATAGAAAATGCTAAGCCCTGGGTTCAATTCCCAGTACTGACCAAAAAAAAAAAAAAAAAAAAAAAAAAAAAAAAATATATATATATATATATATATATATATATATTATCTCAGGGCTTCAATTCTAGCCTAAGCAGTTTAATTCAGGAAGAAGCAGGCACTTTTAGTGTTTATCAAGCCCCTACTATGTGTAGAAACAGTACCAGGCACTTCTCATACCACATCTAAGGCAGCTGTTGTGATCCTTATTTTACAGGGGAAGATGAGAGCCATGGAGGTCAAGAGTACACTACTGGAGTGATGGGTCAGGATTTGATTCTGGCGCTGTTGGATCTGGAAATCTGTAGGGAAATCATACCAGCAGGCCCCTCCCACATCTCCCTCACCTTGGCTTTCTCCAGCTGAGCTAAAGCCTGACGTTCTGCTTCCTTCCTTAAGGCCTCCCGGTCCTCCTCCAGAGATACATCAGAGTCTGACGGCCGACTGGTGTAGGACTCCGCTGAACCCTGAAAGCAGAGGGGGCCAGCTCAAGGCTAGAGCTACCTCCCTGGCTTCTGGGCCTGGAAGGAAAGTGTGGAGGTGCCACCCACCACAATATCTCAAGCCCCAGGAAACCCAGCATGATGCCTAGGAGGAGGCAGAAGGGACTAATGGTCAGAGTTTGCAGGCTTATGGGTAGACTGTGGCCCTGAGAAGAATGACAGCAGCAAGCAGGGGGTGAAGGCAAGTCCAAGGACAGCTGCCTGGAGCCCTGGGAGGAGAGGGAACCTGATAGGGGCATAGGGCAGAGGAGGAGTGCCAGGGGACGAGTCCTGCTCCCTGCTCCCCCTTCCTTGCCCTGCCACCGGCATCACTAAGAAGTCTCAACAGAAACCTAGTGGCATCCCTTCCAGGGACTGCAGCCACCAGCTAAGGCTTAAATCTCTGCATTACTGCCAATGGGTAGTCTGCTCAGCATGATGAGGCTACCAAAACAAATGCTATTTTCTACTTGAGGGTGTAGGGAGCCAGAGTCCCACCTCTCCTGCCCTTTTAGCTGATATTCTGCCGGAATCAGGCCACACCACAATTCTCTGGTGGCACACACAGAAACTTCAGGTTAAGAGCAGGTCATGGGGGCAGGCTTTTCCCCAACATTAGACTGCCAGGTGGCTGTGCAAGGCAGATTAAAAAACCTGGGTGTGCCAGGACGCTAGCTGTGACCACACTGACCAACTCAGAGCACAAGAGACTCTCTTAGAGACACACCCAGCTGTGTAACACACATGTACCAGGCATAGACATGTCAGTACAGGTCATGAACATGCTGAATCATGTGTACATTTCAAAGATCAATGGCAAAAAGTGGGGGGGGAGGGCCGGGAGGGTTATGGTATATGTGGACTGTGTGTGACTGAGCCATCCTGGATACCCAGAGGTGTTTGTCCCTGAGATCCACATAAGTGCAGGAGACAGGAGGTGTAGGTTTATGTGTGATTTCTGGGCTGGTAGCTGACAGAAGTAGGAAGTGGGATCAGGACTGTTGCGAGGTGGGATCTTTCCTGATGGCACAAAAAAGCTACTGAGAGGGGAAGGCCCATTGGCTTGGCGTGGAAGGGGACCTAGGAAAGAGATGACCAAGTCCCACCTCTCCCCAGAGGTCCCTGGATTTTAGCTGGGATAGGTGCCCACCCTTTTCTCAGACAAATCATGAAAACAGGCTGGAGTTGGGGGTCACTAGTAGAGGCTGAAAAAAAATGTAAAACAAGAAGGAAAAATAGTTTACCCACCTTCCTGCCCTCCTTCCAGAAGCACCCAGAGTGAGGGAGACGGCCAGAGAGCCAGAGATAGACAGAGAGTAAAACTGATGCAGAAATGAACCGACAGAGTTGCTCACTGACCCCCGACACCCACAGACACCAATACCAACACACATACATGAAACACACACACCAGAAATGGTAAGAGACAGGAAACAGCAAGGAAGCAGCCATGGGCTAGATGAAGGCTTCACCAGCTTTCCAAGGGCTGCTCTACTCACCCACCACCTGCCCATCCCCAGCTCACCACCACCAGGGTCCGGCTGGGTGCCTCCATCCCGGCACCCTCAGTGCCCAGCCCCACTGGCCTAGGAGGTAGCCCACGCTGCCCGTTTCCCCCAACAGGCTCAGGTTACAAGCAGAGTTGCTACATGTGCAAACTGCTAGGGTATATTTAGCTCAGAGATGTGGCAAGGTCTACCCCCCCCACCCCATTCCTGCCACCTACTGGAGATAGGTGCTAGGAGATGAGAGGAGGAAGAATTAGAGGCTGGGGTCTGACCTCCTGCTTGGCAAAGATGAATAAAAGGAACCAAGGTGCTTTCCTGCCAACAGGGATAACAAAAGTATACTATCAATCTTCCTAGTGCCAGCTCTGGCCCAGTTCTGCAACAGGAGGGATGAGGGAGTGGTTGAAAAAAGGACTTCCCATTTGTTTGTGTACTTAGCAGACACTGGGATGAAGGCCTCCCTTCCTGAAATGCCCAAGTCAAGCTTAAGCTCACATGTGCCAAGTATACAGACAGAAGAATCAAAAAGATCTTCACTTCAATCTGTGGGGGATCTTCTTGCCCTCTCTCCTGGCTCTGGGGAGAAAAGGGGCTCATCCCTACAAGTGTCCTCCCACCTGCAGTCCTCTGCCCTCACATGCCCTGCGTGTTTCCTCTTTTATGTGTTCCTTGCCTTGTCTGATCCCAAGCTCCTCTCGCCTTTTCTGGGTACCAGGTTTTGCTGAGATGCTCAGTAGTCATAGCAACCACATGCCTCCTCACTGCCTCTCCCTGGGCCTAAGATGGCCCAGGGTTGAGAGTTGGAAGAGAAGCAAGTGGCAGCTTCCTGGCTGAGTGCAGGAGGCCCAGAAAACTACTCTCAGCACCTCTACCTTCAGAGAGGGGTGTGGGACTCCAGTCTAAAATCAAAATACCTCCTGCCTACCCCATCACACTTTCCCTGCATGATTGGATATCGGGAATGTGTCTCCCTGGCCCATACCTACCCAGGGCTCCAGGGACCTAAATGTCCCAGCACCTCATTCCCTAGCACCTGCCTCCACCCCACCCTGTCACAGATTCTGGGGGAGGACATAGAAGCAGACAGCCGGCAGGGGGAGTGGGTGACAGCCCGAAGCAAGCCAGGAGGAGGCAGGCCAGGCTGTCCCTGAATGAGATGACGCAGGCAGGCAGGCGCAGGGGCTGGTGGTTGGTGCTGGAGGAGGGGTTGGCGGGGGTGGGGGCTGAGGCAGTGGGTGCAGCTGACAGCACATCTAGGAGAGGTCACAGGGTGTCAGGGTGTTGGGGTGGTTCCAAGCAGGTGACAAATGACACGGGGAAGAGTGCCTGGAGAATGCTGCAGGCCAGCTCACCAAAGCTGTCCTCTGCCAACTAGCCACCTCCCACTCCCAGCCCAGCCTCCCCATTACCTGGCGGACAAAGCTGTTGGATGTTGTATCTGAGGACGTACTCCCATCTGACCGCTTGAACCGCCCTTTCCTCTTGCTGTATTTGCCCTAGAGAGGCCAGGAAGGAACAAGAGTGGAATCAGACAGGCCCTTTTCCTGCCCTCATCCCACCAGGGCTAATGATACAGCCAAGCCTGGGGAATATCATTCGTGCTCTGCACAGTCCCACTCCCACCCCTGCCTCTTCTAGCAGAAGTGGTACAGCCCAAAGGGAGGGAGGGTCTCTGATCTCACAGGAAGGGCTCCGACCACAACCACTGTAGGGAACAGTGAACAGAGCCTTGGAGGCTCATACAGGGACCCCCCAAACCAAGCCACAGGCTGGGAAGAGGAACGTCTGAGGAGCTGGAAGCTCATTAGGCAGCAAAGCTAATTAAGATGCTGGGCAGGCTGCAGAGCCTCTGGGGAAGGGAGAGGCTGCCTGCAGTGCTGGGGGTGCAGGGGGGGGGGGGAGAGGAAAGTCCTCTCTTGCTTCCTCTCAGCTCCAGTTGAGTGTGCCTGGACTCTAGAGAGAAGAAGGATTGATGGACAACCCAGGCCCAGCCTGTCTTCTCCCCTGAGTCCAATTCTTGTCTTCTAGTGTATGGAGGGGATGATGGCTCTGGGCTCTTGAAGACCCAAAGCTACATTTTGAGGGAAGCACCATGAAACCTTATCTGGAGATCAAATACTAAACCTCACCTCTGGTTTAGTGCCCTGGTGGGTGGGCAGAGAGGCTTTTTCTCAGCCCCTTCCTCATAATCATAGTGGCCATATCTTTCCCAAGGGGGCAAGAACTCCCTCTAATGCTCCCTCCCCAGCTACCCATGCCCTATCCTACCATCCCCAAAGTACCAACCCAGCCACATCAATCTAAAAGCCCCTTAGCCCCACCCCAAGCCAAGCCTAGGACACAGTCCCACAGGTCCCTTGTAGGCTGGCTGGCCTCTCTGACAGGGCCCCTGGCTGAGGCAGATGTATGCTACCTGAATATCAGGCAGCCATAGGTTCAGGTACCTCTAGGCCTTCAGAGGAGTTGCTTCTACACCCTCCCCTCCACACACACACACTTAGCCTTCACTCAGTCCAGAACGTTAGATGACTGAGGCTTAGTTCCCAGCTGAGTCCCTGTCCCAGCCTCCATCTCAGATTTCCTTCAGCTAAAGACCCTAGATGAGCCACAACTACACTTCAGGCTCTGGCTCATGCGACCTGGGTACAAGAAGGCGAATGGATAATGGGAGATGAAAGAATCCTCCATCCCCTCCTCTTCTCTCATTCCCAAGGTAGTTTTCAGGCTCCCTACAAACCTAAGAGGATCCCTACAGTGTGCCCCAGACACTTTCACACCATCCACCCCACCCCTCACTGGGCAAAGGGAGTGGCCCTCAGAGGGACAGGGGACAGCTGAAAGGAAGGCCCCAGTCAGCTGCCTCTCAGGCTCCAAGGGGCCTGGGGTGGAGGAAGGAAGTATTTTTAGGTCTGACCTGACCCCCCCCCCAACACACACACACCCATAACCACACTCTCATGGCAGATAACAGTTGCTCAGGCTGGCCACAGCAATGCAAGAGTTAATGCTATCCTTGGAGAAGGACGTGTCCCAGAGAAATCCCCTGGCATGGCTGCCCTAGACTGTGCTGGTCACTCTATGGAAACCCACCTTGCCCAAGAATGCTCCTATCTGGGGGTAACTCACAAGCGTAAGTGTGAAGGGGGGCAGCAAACCCCATTCAAGCAGGGAAACAGCTTCCTCCCCTCCAGGACAGTGAGTTGGCATTAGTCCAACTTTCCAAACTTTGGAGGCGTTTTAGGGGGGGCTGGGGAGAAGGGCAAGCCAACGTGGGTGGGGGGGGGGGGGTAGGGAACAAACCCAAGACCCAGAGAAGAAACCCAGGTGGCCGGTAGGGGGAATGAATCCCGGCTCAGGACTGTCCCCGGCTTCTCCACCCTCGAAAGCCAGTGTCTGCAGCTTCGAAGGCCTTGTTGGCACCGCCCTCTGACCATCGACTCGGCCATCTCCTGGTGCCACCCCCGCCCCACCCACACCCGCCCGGCGCCCCCAAGCGTGCTGAGCGTCGCCCCTTGCCTTGGCTCACTCTCGAGCCTCTTCTTCACAAGGCCCGGATCTCCCCGCCAGCACCCCCACACTCCGTCCACCGAAGCCAGTACCGGAGCAGCAGGGACCAGGACGCGGGGGAGACGAGGAGGCGAGAGTGACAGGCAGCCCACCCGCCCCCTCCCCGCTCCGCCACACCGCAGCCCAACTCCGGGCCAGGCGTCCATCAATCATTAACCTGGGAGAACGGGGGGTGGGGCGCAGGCACCCTTTTCTCCCCCTCGGCGTCGGGATAAATAACCCTTTCCTTCCCAGGACTCCTCGAGCCCATCCCGATGGCCACAACCACGGCTCCCTGCCTGGCTGCCCGCCTGCCCGCCTGCCCGGCACGGAGCCCTCACCTGTGGGCTGGGATCGAAGACCTCCATGGGGATCTCCTGGGAGGGTGGGTAAGAACCCCGGGACATGCTGCTCTTCTGGACCATGGAGAGGAGCCTTCCCTCCGGCCGCCGGCCCGGCCCAGCCGGGCACCCTCAGCGCATGGGAGAGGCGGTCGGAGACGAGAGC